CTTACCCCAGGACCTATTCCATGGTAACTCCTGGGCTCTACTACTCTCTCATTCTGGTCCCATTAGCCCTGTATCTTCATTCTAACAAATTCCCACAGCAATTCTGATACCAGAAGCTTCTGGGTATATGTCTTTGAAAAGCCAGCTTTGGGAAGAAATAATGCTTGGAAGCAGTACCCATTCACCTGGCTGTACCAATGAGTTGATAACTAACACAATGTTCCAGATACTTCAGGACCTTCAGGGTTGGATGGATGGGGGATGGAGAAAATGAAAGAAAACAGGCTAAGGCCAGAGAGGTACCTAACCAACTGCAAAATAGGCTGGAAGAAAGCATCGTATGTCTCATGAAAACAGCTCCAAAAAATTGTGTCAACTCAAAACTAAAATATTTTTTACCTAAGAATTCTGTATGACACAAGAGTGTCTGTGATGTGGTCCACATGACAACAGAACACAAAGACCAGATACAGGGCTTAGGAGTCATGAGACATGACATGCAAGTGAATGAAAATGCATCCAATTCAGAATCAAATAAACATGCCTGGGCTCCCAGCCAGGAAGAATGCTTGGATTGGACTTTTATCAGGGACCTAAATTTTAACCAGCTGGAACCCCACCACCACCACCATACTACCCTATTCCTTTCTACCTTTGGAGATGAAATATTTGCCTTAAATGGGAAACTTGTACATCATTGTATGGTGCCAGCATAGTTTCCAAATTGCTAAAGACAGTCTTTTGGGGGGAAGGGTTCAGACACGGTAGAACCAGGGAATACATATGACATCTAGGGTCAGAAATGGCTCAAAGGAAAAGCTACTAAACAGAAATTTGTGAGAATGGATTTCTAGGCTTTTGGTTCATTTGTTTGTCTGTGAGTTTGCTTGCTTTTTAAGTTAGGGTCTCATTATGTAATAATCCATGTTAGCCCAAAATTGACAATATAGTCTCCAAGCTGGCCTTGAACTCTTGAGCCTCCTGCTCTGTCTCCAAAGTGTATATGGGTATGACCCACAAAGCCTGACTTTGGAACTCCTGTTTTTAGCAAGACAGAGGGAGGTTTCAGAATCTCTCAGCATGAGGGGTTGACACATTAATGGTATTCATCACAAATAGAACCATTCCATCATCAAGAAGAGTTGAGGCTAGGGAAATGATTCAATGGGCACAAGCAATGCTGGGCAAGCAAGAGGACCTGAGTTTGAATCCTCATCACCCAAACAAAAAAGTCAAACATGGCCACCCATGCTTATGTGGCTTCTGTGCTAAGAGGAGCAGGGACAATCACTGAGGCTTGCTGGCTGACAGCCTAGTTCCAGTACCAGTAAGAGACATGTGACCAGTGAATAAAACAAAGTAATAGAACAGGTCTCCTGACATCCTCTGGCCTCTATGTAAGTACACACCTGCACAACCTAATCTAGTAAATCAATTAAATAAAACACACACATCAAAAATAAACAAAATAAAGTGCCAGGTGGTAATGGTGGCCCACACCTTTAACCCCAATACTCCGGAGGCAAAGGCAGACAAATTTCTGTGAGTTCCAGAATAGCCAGGAATTTTACCTAGAGAAATCCTGTCTCAAACAATAAAAGAAAGAAAAAGCAACCTAAGTAGTAAGGATTTCAAGCTGGTGTCAATAGCCCAGAAGCTTCACAAACTATTACTCCTTTGAAAAAAACAGTGTTTATTATTCAAAGCACAACTTTACCCAGCAAAGACTAGAAGGGTTTTTTTTTTTTCTCCTTCAGATAGTTGAGGAAGTGTGCCCACATCTCATTTCTAAAACACTGAGCTGTGTCTCAGATGGTATCTATCCTTTAATTACCCCACAAGTAATAGGGAGGTTGTGAAACCTGACCACTTCAACCAGGCCAGCCTATGGCCCCTGAGAGACACTCTCCTGGCTACAACGCCTTTAAATCCTGGGAAAATATCCAGTCCTACAGCTGCCTGGGTTTCTGGCCCAAATGCCCTATGAAAATTAAGCAGGGAATTCACTCATTTGTTATCCAGTGCCCAGACCCTGCACCACCTTCAGGCTCCAAGGCTCAAGGTTCTAAATGAAACCCAGGATACCCACTTCTGTTGGAATTACATATAATTTACTCTTACTCCTTATTTTGTTTGCTTGAGGTAGGGTCCCACTATGTATCTTTGGCTGGCCTGGAGCTCGGTATGTAGGCCAAGCTGGTGTTGAACTCACAGAGATCTGCCTACCCTCTGAGTGCTAATATCCTGTAGCACCATCCACCCATCTTTATTCCTTATCCTTGCCCTGACCCTGGGGATGCCAGGCAAGCACTCAACCAATGAGCTACAGTTCCCAAACCCCCTCCCAGCCTTTGCTTTGCTTTCTTTCTTTCTTTCTTTTTTTTTTTTTTTTTTTTTTTTTGGGGGGGGGGCACAGGACACAGCCATCTTCCTGCCTCAGCCTTTGACTCTTACATATTTATATGGACCCAGAGTTGAGACCAACATGCACAGAATGAGTAGCAGACCCTGTGAGAGAGGCAGGTATGACTCAAATATCCCAAGATTCTGAACACTAGTACCTACTAGAACCCCATGACAAAGCAACCTCTGGGACATCTTAATTAGTGAGGTGAGGACGGGAGGGTTTCCTGCAGGAAGCCATGATAGAGCTCAGAGAAGTCACTAAAAAGGTAAGAAGCAAAAGGATGATATTTTCTCCAAGTTTTTAATGTGGCTGCAGCTGTGTACCTACTGCACACAGAACACAACAGATGTTGCCCTGGTGTTGAGATCTCCTTGCCTGCCTCCCACTGGAGATGAACCCAGACCTCAGGCATGCCACACACATGTTCTGCTGCTGAGATGTATCACCTCCAGCTCCCTCCCTCTCTCTTTCTCCTCCTTTCCTTTTCCTTCCTTCCTTTCTTCCTTCGAGGCTAGCCCTGAAACTCATTCTGAAGCCTAAGCAGGTCCAAAACTTTTGATCCTGCTGCCTCAGCCACCTGAGTAACTGGGACTACAGCACTAGGCTCAGCTCTTCCGACTCTTCAAATCATTTAATAAAGGATTTTGCAGAAAGATTGCAGGATCTACATGGTCTCAACCAAGATTATAGGGCTCCAAGCTTTGACACCACCAAGGAAACTAAGCACACAAAACTGGTGAGCACCAAAGAGTAAGGCACCTGAATGAGAAAGCAAAGCACAGGGCATGGCATTCTGGGAGGGCTTCCCTGAAGAGGCATCACATGAGCGGACTGTTAAACCAAGCAGGGAGCTCTCAGGACAGAAAACAGTCAAGATGGAAAGCACAGGCTGGCTGTGTGAAAGGAATTGGAAGCCGGACAGGGAAGGAGGGGCGGTACAATAAGGAGGGTGGGTAAGCTAGGCCTACTTTCACATGTACCAAGCAGGCAATTACAGAAAAAAGGAGCCATGGGGAAGAGCCTGGAATCTGGGATATGGCCCAGAAGCTTCCATGCTCATCCAGGAAGGGGATGGTGACCCAAGGAAAGGGCTGTAGTAGTCACCAAGACAGGAGCTGTTGAGATCACTCCAAGGAAGCTAGGAATGTGGGACCACATCAACAGGGTGAGGATGGGGACAGTTATCGAGTGATACATTCCTAAAGAACAAAAACACTGCTTTGGCTTTTTCAGAAACAACTATACACCCAACGTTAAAAATTTACAAGCTTCATGCATTCTAGGCTACTATAGAAAAGCAGCACCTGCCAGTCTAGATCTAAAATCTTACAAGAGAATTAATAAATCAACATGAAATCGCCTTAAGGAAATTGAGAATCTGTTAAAACTAACAGTGAGGTTTTATTGCAGTGGAATACAGTAAGAAACCGTGAGGCTTTATTCAAACGGAAAAGAAGAGTGGGAATCGTTGACCCGTAGCGGCCTGCTCTTACCTGGTTTTCTGAACTGTGGTTCTGAGAAGTGAGCCAAGTGTCCCTCCTAAGAGGTGTCTGTACTGAGGCTGTTAGTAGAGTCCACGGGAAAGGTTAAGACAACCTTGGTCTAAGCAAACTGCTCCAACATATCCCTGAGCCCTACAGAAATCAGCAACATACCCATTCCCCTTCCACTTTCTAGGTAAGGAAACTGAGACTGAGCACTCCAGACATGCTTGGGGCTGCCCGAGTGCAAACTGCGTTCTTGCAAAAGGGTTGGAGGTGTGAGTGGCCTGACTTTCAGTGTCCTTGTCTCTGTGGAAGGCTAAAGGTCTGCTGACCAGGGGAAAGCACTACCCAGACAACATCAAAGGAATACCAGCTCTGATGAGAGGGCTTCCAAGTACACGGAGAAAGCCTGGGCGCCACCAGTGTCAGGTCTGGGGCACCTGGTGGCGCAGACAAACCTTCGCTGCCTTTTGGCCATGAAAACATCCTCAACTCAAACTGAGGCGCGTTGACGGGTAGCGGTGGCATCGTGAGACCTGCAGGCAAAGTCTCTTACTAAGTTAAGAATCCGCAGTGGGGTAGGAAGGAGTAGGGTGACCGAGCTGCTTAGAAGGAACAAAGCAACTGAGAGAAAGTGGATGCATCGTTCCCTAGCGCTCCAGGTTTCCTTTCCTGGATGCCCAAAGCAGAGCTGTGGACTGGAGGTCCAGGGCACGAACCACCAGCTCCTTAGAGCACCCGTACCGCGACAGCCCGGAAGATCCCAGTCCAGGACGCGCAGCCCCGGGGCAGAGAGCCGGGAACAAAGGGTGGGGCGCACGGCCCCCACCCCGCCGCCCAGCCACCCGCCCTCGGGAGTCGGACCCCAGCCAGCGGCCGCGCCTCATTAGCAACACAAAGCCAGGGGTCGGCGTCCCCTTTCATCCGGAGCGGGACCGGAGGACGCGCGCTCGGGGACCAAGACGCGGGATGGGCTGGAGGAGCCGGGACCCCACTGACCGTAGACCGCGCGCCTGGAGAGCTGACGGCCCGGGTTCGCCTGTCCGCGAGCACCTGTGCGCGCCGCACGCCCCCAGGTAACCTGGGGTCGGAAGAAGCCTTCGCCTTACCCTCCAGCCACAGGTGTCGGAGCCCCTCGTGCGTCCCGGGCCGCCCGCAGCCACTGCCAGCTGCGAGCCGTTGAGGCAGGCGTTGACAGTGAAGAAGAAGGAACAGAGCTGCAGCCACGGGGCCATGGCCAGACACTCGCCCAGCGGGTCCCTTCTCCGCTCGGCGGCCGCCTGCAGCTCGCTTCTAGTCCCGAGTGAGCGCTGGCAGCCCGGGCAGCGGGCGACCGTCCACACCGAGCATGCGCGCCGGGCTTCGCCCCGCCTCTGTCCTCCAGGCCCCGCCCCCAATCTCCGTTCTTCGACCTGGTCCTGCCCCTCTAGCCCGCCCCTTCTGTCTTGGCCCCGCCCCGCAGCCACTGAGACTCAGGCAAGTTTCAGCCTCCTCACAAAGGGATTTTTTTTTTCATCCAAAGGATTTGTCCAAATGATGACTGCTCCATACAAAAACTTGGGGCGACTCAAAGAATATAATAATAGTAATTTTAAAATTAATTTAATGAGTACATGCTTTTCAAACGTCAAGTTACTTCTTGCATCTTACCAACGACACAGGAAAATGTCAGTATTAATGTCAGCATAGTAAGGCCTGTAAAGAAATCCTGGCTCTATGTTTACTCCTGGGACCTAGGACAAATTACTTGCTTCCTACACAGCGCCGTTCCCTGCAAGACAAAATGAGGAGAAAGAATCTTCAGCCTGGAGAGTTTTGTTACAGGTTATAACCACAAACTGACATGCCCAAGTAGCTAGAACTGAAAATTGGTGTTCTTCACAGACACAAGTCAAACTTACCTTGGGGAGTATGTGTTATCATTGGAAAAAGAGGCAAAGACCTCCTTTGGAGGACCCATAGTAGTGGCAGCTTCATGACTCTCCCATGTACAGTACATGTATCCACCCTGGACACAGTAATGACTTTCTAAAAGGAAATCCATTTTGGTCTTCACACTGCCTTTTTTTTTTTTTTAATCTTTGACTGTATTGATAGCCCCCCTCTACACACTCAACTTTCTTTTAACTGTCACTTTGTCCATCCTTTGCATCCAAGAGGCTGGAAATCATTCCTTCTTCTAGCAGCGCTCAGGGGCTCTTTAATCCCAACACTCAGGAGGCAGAGACTGGTAGGAATGTTTCAGTTTGTATGTCATTGTCAGGGTACTCAAGTGTTCGAACATGCCCAGAGTGGGTAGGCACTTATCCTCATTATGGGTCCATGAGGTCCACAGAAGACTGCACTCCTAGATGAGCCTGCCCCATGTAGACACTCCTGTGCACACAGCTCCTCCCATCCTCCTTCAGACTCTGAATACCTCTAGTCATTCAGAATCCCCTTAGAAAAAGCTATCCAGGCCAGGCTGTGGTGATGCAAACCCTTAATCCCAGCACTCAGGAGGCAGAGACAAGAGGATCTCTGTGAGTTCCAGGCCAGCCTGGTCTACAGAGCTATTTCCAGGATAGCTAGGGCTGTTACACAGAGGAAACCCTGTCTCGAAAAAACAAAACAAAACAAACAGACTATCCAGGGTCAGGCTTACCACAGGCTGAGATGTAATCAGGATGACCTGGGTTTTGGTGAAAGACTGAGGAAATCATGAGGTTATTGGTTCCTTAATCTACATGCATTCCTGCCCATATGTGTTCCTTAACCTACTAGTCAATTCAGGCCCAGGATTTTCTGTTATAATCAGTAATTTTAAAATATCCCTGCACATTTAACTTAATTTTTTTCCTCATTTTTTAAAGAGTATGTTCCTAACCTTCAGGTTTCTGATTTATGAACATTAACTACTACCAAACTGCTCATTATCTCATTGTCTTCCTAATTGCTTCTGTGGTTGGTAATAAGATGGTTCTAATTTCAACCCACTCTCCCTCCTGCCTGCCTCACCTTCCTGTCCTCAGTGCCTGACCTGCTACTCAGCCTGGATCAGTAGGCAAGAAACTACCATTGCTAAAAAGATGTTGATGGGTTGGGAGTATACTTATCAGCTATTTGGACATCTTCCTTTGTTTGATGTTGTATTCTGGGGGAAAGATAGGAGAGGAGAGAGAGAGAGAGCAATACATGGAGTTTATAGCAGAGAGCCTTACAAACAGTATTGGAGAGATGACATGTTGCCTCCTGTGTTTTATTCAAATTACCTGGTAACTTTGTGGCTGTGAAGACACAGCCACCCTCCCATTCCTTGCTCTCACTCAATTCACTGTTGAACTTCCTTCCATTACACTCACTGCACAACAGCTGGCAGCCTTGGGACATATGTTGCAGAGTCCAGAGTGCGCTATACTTTTCTGAACAATGTGGTGGGTACAGAAAGAAAGTTTGTGTCCAGACTAGAACACAGTAGAAAGGCCAAGAAATGAAAGGCCCCCAAGCACGGGTGGAGGAGCTGCACACATCAAAGAGTCTGATTGAGTCACTAATTGGCATTTGGTAATACCATTGCCATTCTGGTGTTCTGTAGAGGCTATCTTCTCTTACCCCTTGCTCTTTGGAATGTTGAGTACCACAGAGAGGCTGGGAAGTGTTCTAGCCTGGAAAATGAGGAAAAGAAGGGGCCAGGACCCCAGGTGGCCTCCTGGATCATGATTTCCTCTCTACAGTTGAACCTCAATGCTGTAGAGATGAACAGGGTCTGCTCCTGCCCACCAGGTACAGATGGCTGTGGACCATTTACAGCCATCCCATCCGTCCCCATTCCCACCTGGCTCATTTCTTTGCTCTCGGGTCTGTCATTCTGCTTGGCACTGACCAGTAGACAAGAATCTACTGTCATCACCAAGAAGAGTTTGATGATCTGGGAGTGTAGCTCCGTGTACAGCATTTGTCTAGCAAGACCCTGGGGTCATCCCTAGCATAGCCAAAAGAAGAGAAATGTTGCTGAGGACAAACAAATACAGCAAGCTCATTTCTTCACTTTACCAGAAACCCAGTCAAATAGGAAACCTCCTTAATACCTGGCAGGGAAGATACCATGATGACCAAGGGGTTTTCCCTAGGGTGAGGCTTATCCATTGCATTTGGAATGTGCTGACCCCTGCCATTCCCCCAAATTCAGGAAACTCCACTGCATAATTTGTGATAGTAGAGGACTGTATTGGCACTCTCCCCTAAAGAGAGAGAGAGAGAGAGGAAAAATCCTTAATTACAAGTACTGGATTTTGTTAGAAGTCAAATTATGCCATGAATGAAGATAAAATCATCACAGAAATAACAAACCTCTTAAGCCAATACTATCTTAAAATTTAAACCAGTAACCTGAAATTCTAAATTATCTTTGGTGTTATGATACAGTAGTATATATGTTTTCTGAAATAGTTATGACATTAAGCCAGACATGATGGTTTAACTTGTAATCAAGCTTTTTTTTTTTTTTTTTTCCTTTTTAAAGACAGGGTCTCATGTAGCCCTGAATGGCCTGTAACTCACTGGGATCAAATGCTTGCACCCCTTCACCTCAGGCTTTCCCTGCAAGCTTAAAACTAGCCTGAGTTTGCTGGGTGGTGGCACATGCAATTAGTCCCAGCACTCAGGAGGCAGAGGCAGGCAGATCTCTGGTCTACAGAGCAAATTCCAGGACAGGCTCAAAAGCTACAGAGAAACCCTATCTTGAAAAACAAACAAACCATAACAAACAACAACAACAACAACAAACAAATCTAGCCTGAGCTACATAATGAATTCTAGGCCTGTCTGGGCTAAATGGTGAAACTGTCTCAAAAACAAAACAAAATAAGGACGGCTAGAGGCTGGAGAGCTGGTTCAGTGATTAAGAGGACTTACTGCTCTTGCAGAGGACCCAGGTTAAGTTCCCAGCACCCACATGGTGTTTCACAAGGGAATCCACAGCCTTCTTCTGACCTCCACCAGACCATTGCACACATAAAATGAAATGAACAAATCTAAAAAAACAACAAAAATAAATGAACAAACCCACAATGTTAGCTTTAAAAAAATAAGCGAACAAGGCTCCTAGGCAGCTGAGATTTTGCAAGACTTCCCAAGGTTTTAGGGATGCATATATAGTAAATAGATCATCCCAGCTCTGTAAACCCAAAGTCCTAGCTGCTTGCCCTGCACAAGGCCATCTTGGTCCAAGTAGGAGAAGAGTCATCAAATCTCAGTAGGACAGGACTTATCATCTGGACTTCATGTATGCTCACACAAAACTCCGAGCAAAGTACCCCATCAGGGGACTTCTCTTATCCCTTCAGACCTGCCCCTGAGCCATGCCTTTGAGATGTTGGGACTGACATCTGGTCCCAGAATCCTAGAACATTCACTCCAAAGTTCAGGAGCCTTGGAGTACAACACTGTATGAGTTCACAGCTCCATGGGCATTCTCCCACCTTTTTTTGAAAAGACATGGCCTTATCTAGCCCATTGTTGGCCTAGACTTCCCTAGGTAACCTAAGGTGGCCTCTGGGCTGGAGTCCCCCTGCCTTCATCTCCAGAGTGCTGGGATCACAGGCATGAGCCAGTTCCCCATGTTTTGGTTTCTTTGTCTTCTTGTTCAGGAGACAATGAAGTGTTTGGCATCTCCACAGAGACTACCAGCAAACCTATGCTCTCAAGGTTCAGGTGTCCCCGTTCTTGCATTATGTCATAGCAAGTGTATGGCCATCAAGGACACAGGATGAAGTCAACAGGGCAGGTGCAAGTTCACTGTAATACAGAGCTGGTGCCAAGTTTCAGAGGAAGTGGCATTCAGGGGACAGTAAGAAAGTTGGGTCAAATAACGACTCTCAGCAACCACAAGTTTGGAGGCATCCATTTTCGAAGGCAACAGGAATGATCCTTCAGCTTGTTTGACTTTCAAATCTAAAGTAATCAATTAGCTGTGAAGGTGCATGGTCACTATTGCCTGTTGCAAGGGGTGTGCCACAAATTGCCAGTAAGCTGGGAGCTGGTGGCTACCTCTGCTTCTTTTAGGAGACAACACCTGGTTGTCTGCACTGGCCAAGAAGACTCTAGACCATACCCTATTTACCAATCATTCCATAGATATTTGTGGAATTTCTAAACACACCAGTAATTATATCAAGAGTGGAGAGAGGGAAAGTGCAAAGGCCCTGGGAGAGTAGAGAGAGAACATGGTAACCCAGGAAACTCAAAGAGTCTAGTAGTACTGGAGAGGAATTGGCACAAAGCAGGCAGAGAGGCCTCCAAGGCAAGTGGGCCGTGCTTGGCCTTGGTTGTTTTGTAATGCTGGGAACAGAACTTGGGTCTTCTCATATTCAAGTGTTGAGCTACACTATCACTAGCTGTGTCCCCATTGTTCAATTTCAAACCAAGACAACAGGCTGAGGTGCCTATTTAACATATCAAATTGGACCTGGCCTCCAGGTTCTCCCAGCCTTCCTCAATCCATACCTGTGACAGGGTATGACTGGTACACCCCACCCTCTAACCTGAACTCTGTTGCCCAGGGGTGGACCTTGCCCTTCCCCAAGAGCCTCTTCCCTCTATAATTCAGACATCTGGTTACCCACCTTTTTGTATCTTTGCCCTCCTGGCTGCTGCACCTGGTTGTCCTCTCTCCCCTCTCACATGGCTCAGGGTCATGACCACTCGGGACTCTGCCTGATGTCTCTGACTCTGGCTATACTCTCCCTTTTATTTACAGTAAAGTTTCTCCTCCATCATACTTAGGAGCAGTCAAGTCCTTTCCTTTTTGTTCCTTTTTTTTTTTTTTTTTTTTTTTTTTTTTTCATTTACCCATCATTTACACAGACGCTGCTCCCCATCCTGCCTGAGGGCTTTGAGGCAGAGCTGTGCTGTGAAGTCTGTGTCTCCTGCACAGTCCGTGGAGAATGACCTTGCTCCCCACATTTTAGCTAGCACTTGATGCATATGTATGTGGTGTATGTTTGCTTGGTTTTGAGACAGGTTCTCACTACGTAGTCCAGTCTGGCCTGGAACCTGTAGTAATCCTCCTGCCTCTCTGTTCCATGAGTGCTGGAATTACAAGTATACCCCCTACACCTAGCTAATGCATACTTGTTGAATAAATGATTCACCAAGATTATTATTGAAATTCTGGGTTTTAATATCTAGAATCCTAGAATTATTTAAAACAAAACAACAACAAAACCAGAGAGGCAGGGATCAACATTGCTAAAGTTCTAAATAAAACTAAACAAAATGATAAACATTGTTTTTCAGGACTGGGGAGAAAATTAAGGCCCCTTTGTGCCCGGGCAAGCACTCTGCCACTGAGCCAAACCCACAGTGCTCTTTCTGCCTTTCTGTCACATTTATTCTTTGTTATTGTCATTAGAGTTTTTTTCTTTGTGGTGGCGGTAAGGACTCATGATTTTCCTCAAGCTCTCTATCACTGAGCGTAGAAGACCTTTCTCTTCCCAAGGCAGGGGGTTTTGCTATGTAGCCCAAGTTGGCCTTGACCTCTCATTCCTGCCTCAGCCTCCTGATTGCTAGGGTTACAGGTGTTAAGCATATACCAACCACTCTGCTCTAGGCTTTTTGAAGGGCAATTTAGATTTATAAAAAGATTAAGAAGGTAGTACAAGCAGTTTCCATATCACTTGCCCCTGCTTTCCTCTGTTATTAACATACTACATTAGAACAATGCATTTGTTACCAATAAAGTATCAGTTTTCATATACTATTTTAGTTTAAAAAAAAAAAAAAGCTTATTCAGATTTCCTCAGGGATTTCTTTAAATTTAAAGAAATGTATGTACTTTTTGTGTAGAGGGGTATGTGACTTCACAGCTGTGAAGGGGGCAAGTCAATTCTCTCTCTCTCTTTCTCTCTCAACACAGGGTTTCTCTATGTAGTTCTGGCTGTCCTGGAACTCACTCTGTAGACTGGCTGGCCTTGAACTCACAGAGATCTGCCTGCCTCTGCCTTCTGATTGCTGGGATCAAAGGTGTGTGCAATGGCCAGTTCTCTCTCTTCATCAGGCAGATCCCAGGAATTGAATTCAGATCATAAGGCTTCACAACAAGAACCTCTACCCACTGAGCCACCTCACCAACCCAAGTCTCCTCAGTTTCAGACTATCATCCTTTTCCTATCTCAAGGCCCCACCCCGAATTCCTGTATCAGTTACTTTTTATTGCTAATACACCATGGCCAAGGCAACTTGGGGAAGACAGAATTTATTTGGGAGTATGGTTCCAGAGGGTTGGCACCCATGACTTTGGACCAAAGGAGTAACATTAGGAGAAGGAAGTTGAAGGCCCACCTGAACCACAAGCACAGAGCAGAGAGAGTAAACTCAAAATAGCATGAGTCTTTAAACTCTCAAAGCGTCCTCCAGCAAGGCCACACCTCTTCAGCCTGCCAAAAAATGATGCTACCAACTGGAGGCCAGGTATTCAAATGCTCAAGACTATTGGGGATGTCTCTATCCAAACTGCCACCACCTTCTCACATAACACGGCAGTTATGTTGTAGCTCAGGTTGAGTGGCTCTCATGGTCTTTCTGAGTTCCCAGGGGGATGGCACACTATTTTGTATGAACTCAGAACAGATTTTAAAATGCATTTTCTGTTTAGTATGGCTTACAGATAGTTGTTAGCTACAATGTGAGTTCGGGAGCTGAACCTCAGTCATCTGGAGTAGCTCTTAACCACTGAGACATCCTGCCAGCTCATAAGATAACGTTTGTTTGTTTGTTTGTTTTAAAGTATGTGTATACATGTGTTGGCAGCAAGGGTGAACATACACGAGTGCCACATGCCAGTGGAAGTCAGAGGTATCGGAGCTCCCTGGAGCTGGGGTTACAGGCCACTGTGAGCTGTCTGTTGTAGGGTCTGGGAATAGAACTCAGGTCCCCTGAGCAGTAAAGCATCTTTCTAGTCCCTCTGTTTTACTTATTTACTTATTTTGGTTTTCCAATATAGGTTTTTCTCTGTGTAGCCTTGGGTGTCCTGGAACTCACTCTGTAGACCTGACTGGCCTTGAATTCACAGAGCTCCACCTGCCTCTGTCTCCTGAGTGCTGCTATTAAAAGCCTGTGCTTTTACTACACCCGGATGCATTTTCATTTGTAATTAATTAATTAATTAAAAGGCATAGTCTCACCATGTATCTCAGACTTGAGCTTGCTATCTAGCCTAGGCTGACCTGGAACTCCAGGACCTCCA